GCTTTCACATGAATCTGGGGAACTTTTCATCTGTGGTGACCTTTCTTTGTCAGCCTCTATATAAAAGTATAATCTAGTCGTCTATAATCTCTTGATATTTTTATTAATTAGTTCTTTTAGCGTATGCTCAATGTTATATATTTATTTTATGTTTTAGTCGATGGTGGCGCTTCTTCGCGCAATGGGCACGTTAAGAATCGACTTCAAATCGCCGAGTCGTATCGACGATGCGCAGCAGTTCTTCAATATCAGCCAAACTTGTGACGAGGTATCATCTTTCCAGTATTTGGTGATTTTCGTGCAGTTATTTTACGAGAGATCTAAAGGCTTTAAAATGGAGCCATCTTGGGACGGGAAGATTTTATTTGGTGGTTTATTTTTGTTTTTCCTTCAACCACATTTTATCGTTTTATTTTTAGTACCCGAAAGCAAGTTTTCTTTTCTTGCTTTTCTTCTCACTAGAGTCTTTTGTCGTCGCGGGGTTTCCTGAGTCTTTATTATCTTCTGAAGAACCCTATCTCTTTCGAATGATGCTGGTGGAGAGAACTATAATGGACTGTGTTTCATAACTGCAATCATGTGCTGTGTTCAGGGCGAGCTTCCACCTGATCTGGCAAGTGTTATGAAACGATTGTGGGCTGACGGAGGAATCCAAGAATGCTTCCTGAGGTCGGGCACACTTGGTTATGCTGTATAGATTCTGCACTGTTTTCACCTCTTCATTTCACCTTTTTTCACTTCTATTTTTTTGTGATTTTGGTGCAGAATTAAGGAAGGCCTTTACCCTAGTTTTATATTGGTAACTGCTCATCGCCGTGAAAGTTTTTCGAGCATGCTGAGTAATGGGCAAAAGATTTCATCTCAGACAGAACTCGAACTAGTTCTGCCGTATAATATGATAACTCTCAGGATTTGTTCAAGTTTTATGACCAAGGCACAGCACCTCTCATGAAATACACAACGGAGGGGGTCGAAATTTGGGCCGCTAGGGATGGGAAAAATTTCCTTGACAACTGATTTTCCGTTTTAGGCACTCATAATTGCGGGACTCTCAGTAAGGGGTCTTATATTGTTTGGGAGAGGGGATCGCGTGTTTGCAGCGCAGAATAATAGGGCAGTGCGCATCAGAGCATGAACATCATAGGAATTGTAACTGAGTCTACTATCTAGTTGGAGTTCCGGTGGGGGTCACACTTTTGTAGCCATATTTCAAGGACAGACAGACATTCGTAATCTTATTGTGTCGCGGGGCGCGGCAGTTGTGCGGCCCGTGTGCGCAAGTCTTCTCTATGTGAGTTTCGATTGTAGCAGACGAATACGTAAGAATCTTGAGCGAATACGAATACGTATGATTTGAGCGAAGACAAAATTCTGTTAGGGACGACATCGATTTTTCCCAGCTCTCCGAATTCTTATCCAGATGGCCGGGTAGGACAACTCGTCTATCGTCGCGCCAAGCTCGCCACGACCACTGACGCGGTATATTACGGTTGTCTGGTCACCCACCTCTATTTTAGTATCCTTGTTATAACGACGCCTTATAACAGGGATACTAAAATAGAGGTGGGTGACCAGACAACCGTAATATACCAGTGTTATAACAACGCCTTACCAGCTTTCCCCGTAGGACTTCATGAGAAATGACATCGGACACCTTTTCAGACAACAAGTGCAATTTACTTTTTGAACGCTTTAACTCTAGAAATTCCATTCTTTTCAATTCCGTGCTCTATAGATAGGGTGTTTGATGTCCGAAACTTTCGATCTTGTGCCTTGTTTTTTGAAGTATTCTAAATTTCAAGATAAACAGAAAAAAAACCTTGTTTTTTTCCTTGCTATACCTTGTTTTTTTAAGATCACGCGAATACCAGCTGAACGACTCTGCTCCATATTACCTGAACTCATTAGAACGGATCGCTCAACCAAATTACATCCCTACACAGGTTCTTTTCATTTGGTACCAATGTTTTATACGGATAAAATGTCAGTAATTTCAAGGACGATGTACTGCGTACTCGAGTCAAAACGACTGGTATCGTCGAGACTCACTTTACGTATAAAGACCTGCATTTCAAGTGAGTGCATTCTACATGTTGTTTTTCTTTTTTCTGAGTTTTTTGTTCAATCGAAATCTTATAACCGCTAAGCAATGGGCACAGTTCGGCTTCGTGGGGGCACCAAACGGTACTCAGGGGAGCTGACTGACGTCACCTTGATAAGTCCTGTGTATTCCCGTGATCAGCGTGATTCTCGTATACCGTATTGCTGCCTCACAGGAGTTTACAAGTCTAACAAGGATAACCTGTTAATTAATATGGACTAACGAAGAGACCTCACCGAAGTGTTGAGCTACCGCT